GCAGCGGGACGTGTGCCGCTTGCCCCCCACCTTCCCCGGGTGGCTGGAAAACCTCCCCGCTGGAGCCAGGGGGCTTCCTGGGGTCCCTCCCCATTCAGGGCTGTTCCCCCCGCCTTGCCCTCGCCTTGGATATGCCAAGCCTTGTTTAGGGCCACTTTTATCACGAAGGGACATGGCCCCAGCCCTCGGCTTAGCAATGAAAAAGGCTTTTGAAAGCGGACGTAACCTCTCCCCGTCCTCTCCGAAGCCTTGCACTGGGCCCCTCCGTGCCAGCCTCAGGCTTCGTTAAAAGCATCGTTTCTCCCAGGGCTGATGCCTCTTCCTAAGCCTTGAGATAAAGAACAAGATGAGGCAGCTCCTGCCTGCAGGTCCATGCTGGAGACAGAAGCTTGGTGAAGGATGTGGGGCTCCTGTCTGCAGGTCCATGCTGGAGACAGAAGCTTGGTGAAGGATGTGGGGCTCCAGCAGGACATGGGGCACCATCCCCAGGATGGGGCCCTGAGAGGGCAGGGAAGCTGGGAATTTGGGAATTGGGTGTGTTGCTCCATGGCAGGCTTTGGGTTCAGGGCAGTCCGTGATTTCTTCAGTCCTTGGTCTCCTGTGACTGTCTCTGTCCCTGTCTTTGGTGTCTGGGTGGGAGTCTCCCGTCCCCTACATTCTGCCCCCTCCCTGTAAAACCATGGTACGCTGTGGGCAGAGGGAGGGAAGCGCGCGATGGTGGCTCTTCTGGGTGGTTCCTCCTGCTGTGCTTGCGTGGGAGGTAGGAAGGTGAGGTCCAACAGGAATGATTTCTTGAAAGTCCTTTTTGGGGGTGTTTGGCCAAGCACAAAACCATGGGTGGGCTGCTGGAAAGGTCAACGGGGACTCCGGGGTAGCTTGTACATGCGGACTTCTGTGCAGATGCGAGTGTTGCTGCCTTCTCACAGCCCCGTGGTGAGGTTTGGATCCTTCACACTGTCCTCATCAAGGCACAAGGTGCTTCTGGCTCATGAGCAGGCGTGTGGTGACTCTTCCCTTCATCCCTGCTGAGCTGATAGAGAAGCTGGTTGCATGTGAATGGCTGAAATGGGAGGGAAGGATGTGTTTGAGTGCTTAAAAATACTCCGTCCGATTGCTTTTTGGGCTAGCAGGAGCAAAAGGCTATAGGAAGATGAAAACTGAAGGCTGTTTTGTGACGGTGGTGCCCTAGAGGTGGAGTAGGGGTCCTGCTTTGCGCCTGTGAGTCATCTGCCCTGGATCTGAGAGCCTGGCCATACCAACATTTCTCCTTAGCCTCATTTTTTGCCAATTTCTGATAATATTGTCTGTTTCCTTGGCTGTCTGTGTCCCTCTCAAGTAGCCTTCCCCCCCCCCCGATGTCTGCGCTCTTGGGATGCTCGTGGGCAGCTCCGGTCCTCCCCACGGCTTAGCCAGCCGTGCAGGTTCGGCTCTCTCCACCTCCCCTCCTAATTCACTCCAGCTCTTAATTGCGTTTACTGCTACTCTTTGAACTTGCTCCAGTTTTACTATCTCTGGTAATGAAGTGCCTAGATAGAGATGCATTAATCCCGATGTCCTGGCAGCGGGGCGACGTAAGAAGGAGCTCCCGGGGCAGCTTCCCACCGTGCAGGATCTCTGGATGTGGCCCGGCAGTGCCCTGCCTGTCCCCCTGCCTGCTGCTGGTGCCACCCTGCTCTGGCAGGGAGCTGCCTCGGGTGACGTGTTCTTCAGCCTAGCGCTTGCTGCATCCTTGGGCATGGTGGTGGTGGTGGTCCCTGGAGCCCTTTCTGTGTTTGGTGGGGTGTGGGAGAGCAAAGACCCCCAAGCAAAGCCTTGCTCAGCCTTTCGATGCTCTCCAGGCAGCTGTTTGCAGATGTGATGGGCAGCACCTTGGCC